ACCAAAATCATAGTTCTCATTTGGAGGTCCACCCAATTTAAGTAGCTACTGACAGATGTTTACAATCTGTCCTCTGTTCAAAGGGTCTTTTAACTCAGATGTTTACAAATGTTGTGGTAGTCTCTGATAGAAAAGACTTTGTGCAAGGAGTGGAATACTCACTAAATTTGCACTTTGTATTACTACATATTAAAATGGAAGTTTGTCCAAAGCAAAATAACACAACAGAGGTTTTATTCCAAAGGAGGCACTGGACTATACACAAAATTCAAAAAGAAGGTTTCTGAAAATGAGTCACATGTCTGTTCACCACAAACCCATTGGAAGGATTTAAATACATCAAGAATTAAATATTTGAAGAGAATCTGGAGGGTGAGATTTCTTTGGGTAAAACAATGCCATAAGTATCACCCATCACTCCCAATGGGGAAGTTAAGGAAAGAACTACCTCCTCTCCCCAGGAATCTAGTGAGAGTACTTAACAGGACCACCTGGAGAGCTTAACATGTGTCCCATGCAATTTAGAGACACAGAAGACAAGTGTCTGACTCACATGTAAGAAATCAAAAGGGTAAGAGAGCAGGTAGCTTGCCGTTTCGATCATAGAAGGCAGGAATTGGGATTGGCTTACAAATCCAGACTCAGTTGAGGTAAACAATGCATGAATACTTTCCACAAACCAGATATAGAGGATTCCACAGAAGACCTAGTGTGGGGTCATCTTAAGTCCCGCCTAAGAGACTCACATGACAGTTGACTGTAACAGAATCTGAAAGTATCAAGAAATATATTAAAGTCCTGAGAAAAGAGTGAAAAACTATCCAAAATAGAGATTCACTTGCTAGGGTCAAAAGAACTTCAGGTAAGAGGTCCTCCATAACTGAGGGAGATGAGGGCTTCTGAAACACCCTTAAAAGAGAAGGAATCCACTTTAATCTCCTGAGTCCCAGAGAGGGTGGTACCAGCTAATGATAGTATTGGTCAATTAAGAACTCTTCTGTCTTCCTTCGTCTCCCCCTTCCTATAATCCTACTACAAAGTGTTCAGAAACACAGTTAGCCATTTCAAGGGAAAGGGATGGAGATGAGAAACAGAAGTGCTGGAGAGGTAACCAACAACATCTCTTCCCAACGGGTAGGATTCCTGTCTACAGCAGACTCAAGTGAAGAATAGGTAGAAATCTTAGCTTTAAGTTTGATTAGTACAGGCAACTGAATATTTTAATTATTAATTAGGGCTATGTCTGAACTCCGAAGAACCACAGACCCACCCCAGTTTTCAACAAGTACAGAAGAACTAGCCCAATAGAACATATTTAAAGAAACAATGAAAGACAAAAACAAATTGTTTTATAATTAACATCTCATGAGTTATTGTAGTTCAATATAATGATTTCTTTGACTCAATGCTTAATACATTAAATCCATATATCTAAAAAGCAAAACTTAGAAAATCAATTTTTGTGGGCATTTATTCACTATAAATTTGATTAACTTCCTTTAAATAATTTAAACTGCATTTAGTAATTTGTGTGACTGACTCTTTTGAGTATTTTTAATATCCTAAAGAACAAATAAAACACAATGATTCAATGATTTCATAACTAATCAATACCTCAAAATAATACTGATGGCAAAAATTAACCATGAATAAAAAACTTTACTTTCCTCTTTTTTGTTTTGAAACAGTCTTGTTCTGTCACCTGGGCTAGAGTGCAGTCAGTGGCATCATCATAGTTCACTGCAACCTCAAACTCCTGGGCTCAAGTGGTCCTCCTGCCTCAGCTTCCCGAGTAGCTGAGACTATAGGCATATGCCACCATGCCTGGCTAAGTGAAATTTTAATTCTTATTTTTACATCTTTCCAGGGATCCAGTTTTTCTAACTCCTTTGTAAACTTTCTGTAGCTTTACCAGAACCAATGTTTACAATCTTTCTAGGAATTTTTTTTGCAAATTTTTCCAGATCTAAAAAAAAAAAAAATAACAAATGCCATCTCAGAATACCAGAAACCAGATTATTGGATATTTCACTTATGTTTGAAGTATGAGACTTGGTAGTATTGACACTGCCCTTCAATAACAGGGTACAATGTGAGAACTATGGTAAAGTTCTAGCTAAGAGTAATGACAATAATTAGTTGGTGTCCCCTGTTTGCTTCTCTATAAGTGCCACTCCAGAGCCATGCAGCTGGTGATCATAAGGATTCTTAATTTTCTCCATAGATAATATTACCTTTTTGAAACCTAAAGGTAGTTTTTAAGGTATCTTCTAGGTTCTGCATTCTAGTGGATTGACTGACTAACCCAATGGACCAGCAGCCCATACCAAGAAACCTACTCAACTGGAATTGTGACCCCAGCTACTAAAACAACTCAAGAAGATGATTCCTACACCCCTATAACTTTTCCCCAATTAATAAACCCAATTTCCTAATCCCTTGCATGCCAAACTACCCTTAAAAACCCTGTCTCCCAAATTCTCAGGGAGGTGGATTTGAGAAATTCCTCCTGTCTCCCCAATTAACACTATGCGGAATAAAGACTCTTTCTCTGCCACAAAACCTGCTGACTGTGCATACTGGCTGCTATTTGGGCAGCAGGCATATGAACCTGGCTGGGTGGCAACAGTATGGTCCAAAGTGAAGCAAACTGCAGTCCCCACAATAGACCAAGTGCCTTTTTATATCTAACTCTCACCATTTCCATCCTGAACTGAACTTGTCCTTAATGTAAATTTTAATTTTTGAAGATTCATTATCTTTCCTGACATTTCTTACAGCCAGAAATACTATGCCATTGCCTTGACATTGTGATACATTGAAGTACTTTGTTTCAATTATCAAAATATATGTATTTCTTATTAGTAGCTTATTAAAATTCATAGGGGTTTATTTATAATTAGATGTTTCATCTTCTAGGAGATAAGAGATTGAATCTCATCTTTTCCTCTACAGAACATTTGATCCATTTATAATTTTGGAACATCCTGTTTTGTAATAGCTACTGTATATACCAGTATGGAATAGCTGTAATCAATTATAATAACCTTGTAAGTCATTATTATGTAAGACTGTTAATGCTGATGAGTTTTTTAGTATTTAGAATCCCCTCCTTTTCTGATATTGTCTACAGTAGGAAAAGGATCTACCTCTTTATGCAGAAATCCTATGTCATAATTGGTTCATTCAAGTATCTTAGCTCCTCCTTCTTTCTGACACAAATACAAACAAATATATGTGAACATATGGAAACATAATAAACAAAAAGATTAAAACATATTTCAATACTCTCAATAAGGATGTAAAGATCCTGTTAGACTCATTCTTTTGTTCTATTACAAGTACCTCTTTGCTCACCTTGTGTTTTCTCTTTTGAGCAGTTACTGTGAACTTTTTACTGTGGCTTTTTAGAGGCTTAACTTTTCCCATTTTAATGAGCAGCATTATTATTTTTGTTATTATTTGCCAGCTCTTTTGTTATTGAAGCACTACCCCCTGATGTTTCAAGAAGTAGTCTTGATGTCTGGTTAACAACAGGTTGCTTTGGCTCCACCTCATTTTGTCCTTATGCCAAACTTGAAGTCAACTACCCTCCAGGGATCAAAATTTTTGTGCTAGAGGTGTACACAAAGAGTTGATAATACATTAGAATAGTGTCCCTGCTGTTAGGCCATTTATAATAATGATAGAGTTGGAAAATAACTCTTTTAAGGACATAATTTCACACTGATTTTTCCAATGTAATATATTACTGAATCTCACTTTTCTTGTATACTTGCATTTATGCTTACAATAAATATGTAATAAGATGGAGAAAATGCATTATCTTCACAGTTGGTAGCAGAATTCCTCCTCAGGAGAGGTAGGTCTCTCTCAGGGGGAAAATGTTTTAATCTTTTACAGTAGAAGGTGAGCTCCTCTGTCCTTTCCATTTAAACTGTCCAGGCCCAAGAAAAGGCTGATTGCAACATTTCATTGAAAAATTTAGCCATCCACAGGCTACCAGGAAGAGAGAATTTGAGTACAGCAGATGAGAAATAGGGGGAAAAAGTAGGGTTTTAGATGTCACTGCCTCTGATGATGATCTACCAAATAAATAAACGAAACATCAAATACTTGGTGTGCATGTGTGGCAGTAGGTGGGGAAACTGTCCATGTAAACTGAGGAAAGAGCTGAACGTCACGTCAGACTGAGGAGTTGTGGGACAGAGATAGTACACAAGAGTGTGGAAACATGAAGGTCTGGAGAGACCTGAAAATATATCCTCCCCGTAAAACTGCCAGACATTTATTTGGAAGACTTCTTGGAACTTCCACAGAGTGGAATCAGTGGAGTCAACATCAGTTTTACTTAGATACCGAGAAGAAAGTCCTCTGCATTAAAAATAGAACGCAAACAATTTTTAAGAATAGGGTTGCCAGATTTAGCAAATAAAAATACATAATGCCAAGTTAAATTTGAACTTCAGATAAATAACACATAATTTTTTATAAGTATGTAGCATGCAGTATTTATGACAAACTTACACTATCTGGAAATCCAACAGGGGTTGTTTGTGTATGTGTTTGTGTGTGTGTATGTATATCAAGCTACAGACTACAAATATACTCAATGTAATGATAAATATACAAAACATACATTGATTATAAGTATATACATAAATATCAATATATTTTTATTATTTATATGTATATAAAATCCTCATTATGATAAAGAGAAAAACCACCACCCCATTCATTTTTGTTTTTATTTCTGTTTTGATCATCCTGATTTTGCACTGTCTCTTTTCCCTTTACTTTCCATATGCTCCCTACCAATATGTTAACAGTCATGGTTTCTTAAAACTATTGTCCAAAATTCTTATAATATCTATATGTGATTGCTTACAAGTCAAGTAGAAGGTCTTTATAAACTACTTCTTCAGCTCCAGTTAACTTTTCTTCAGTGCACAAAACGTATTTGATCTCAAACATGCAAAGACACCCATATAAACAACACGATGGCTGTGATGTCACCCAGCAATGGTCCTCACCTCTCTGTGCCTCATCTCACTCATCAGAGCCTTTTCAGCCTCAATTACCTTGTGATGCTGCTTCATGGAAGGTGGGAAATTCTAGAAATAACCTGTGTTGAGGAATAACTCTGAGTCATTGTTTAGGAATTCTGTGACCTACCGTGAGCCATGGCACCTTGACTGCAGTTGCTCAGCACTTAGTCTTTTCCCATTCCTGATCGTCCATAGGCTGTGCTCATTCTTTCTGCCCCACAAGTGTCAAGCCTTCTCAAGAACTTTTACATCCTGGACTTGTTGCACCCAGTGATGTGATTGGAATTCTCAGCTTCTTATAGTCAGTCACATGATGGATAAGAAATACAGAATTAAGAATTCATCAATGATATATCTCTCAACTGAAGGATGCATACGTAGAGATCTTCAGCAATAAACTACTGGGTTATATAAAATGTTTCCCAAAGGAAATATAGAAAAGTTGAAGAAAAAAAAGGTTAATAAAACTTTACAAAAGGGATTTTGTAGAAGTGAAATGCATGTCAAAAATACAAAAATGTCAAGTGCTAACTGAATGACAGCCAGTTGTTACAGGCAGCTACCTTTGGCTATTGTGAATAGTGCTGCTATGAACATGGATATGCAAATATTTGTTTGAGTCCTTGCCTTAAAGTCTTTTGGGTACATACCTAGGAGTAGGATTGCTGGATTATTTGTTGATTCTGATTAATTTTTTGAGGAATGGCCATGCTATTTTCTGGTGGCTGCACCATTATATATTCCCACCAGCAATATACAGGCATACCTTGCAGTTTAGTGCAGGTTTCTTTTTAGACCACTACAATAAAGCAAGTCTTGCAATAAAGTGAGTCACATAAATTTTTGGTTTCCCAGGGCATATAAAAGTTCTGTTTACACTATTCTGTATTCTGTTAAGTATGCAATAACCTTATATCCCCCAAAATAATATATATAGCTTAATTAAAAATTTTTTGGTAAAAAATGCTAACATCTGAGCCTTCAGTAAGTTGTAATCTTCTTGCAGGTGAAAGATCTCACCTCAGTGCTGATGGCTGCTGACTGATTAGGGTGGTGGTTGCTAAAGGCTGGGGTGGCTGTGGCAATTTCTTAAAATAAGACAACAGTGAAGTTTGTCACGTCAATGGACCCTTCCTTTCAAGAAAGATTTCTCTGTAGCATGCAATGCTGTTTAATAGCATTTTGCCCACAATAGAAGTTCTTTCAAAATTGAAATCAACCCTTTCAAACTCGGGCCACCGCTTTATCAACTAAGTTTATATAATATTCTAAATCCATTGTTGTCACTTCAACAATGTTCATAGCATCTTCACCAGGAGTAGATTTTTCTCAAGGAACCAAGGAACCACTTTCTTTGCCCATCCATAATTATAAACCCCTCATCCATTCCAGTTTTATCATGAGATTGCAATAATTCAGCCACATCTTCAGGTTCCACTTTTAATTCTAGTTCTCTTACTATTCCTATCCCATCTGCAGTTACTCCTCCAAGTTATCTGTGAGGGTTGAAATCAACTTCTTCCAAGCTTCTGTTCATGTTGATATTTTTACCTCCTGCCATGAATCACAAATGTTCTTATTGGCCTCTAGAATGGTGAAGCTTTTCCAGAAGGTTTTCAATTCACTTTGCCCACAGCCATCAGAGGAATCACTATGGAAGCTATTGCCTTACAAAATGTATTCCTTAAATAATAAGACTTGAAAGTCAAAATTACTACTTGATCTATGCAGAATGGATGTTGTGTCAGCAGGCATGAAAACAACATCAATTTCTTTGTGCATCTCCATCAGAGCTCTTGGGTGACTAGGTATATTGAAAAGGGCAGGAGGAAAGGGGTGTATGCTTTTATAACGTGTGTGATGCACACCACTGGGGGACTGGACACATTGGGAGGAGGGAGGGGGACAGGGGCAATATTTGTAACCCTAACAATATTTGCACCCCCATAATATGATGAAATAAATAAAAAAATAAAAATTAAAAAAAATAAAAAATAAAAAAAAGATAATGAGTGAAAAAAAAAGGGCAGTAATATTTTGAAAGGAATCTATTTTTCTGAGCAGTAGGTCTAAACAGTGGGCTTAAAATATTCGATAAACCATGCTATAAGCAGATGTGCTGTCATCCAGGCTTTGATGTGCCACTTATAGAACACAAGCAGAATACATTTAGCATAGTTTTTAAGGGCCCTAGGATTTTCAGAATGGTAAGTGAGCATAGGCTTCAATTTAAATTCATCAGCTGCATTAGCCTCTAATAAGAAAACCAGCATGTTCTCTGAAACTTTGAAGCCAGGCATTGACTTCTCCTTTCTAGCTATGAAAGTCCTACATGGCACCTTTTCCCAACAGAAGGCTGTCTTACCTACATTGAAAATCTGATGTTTAGTGCAGCCATCTTCATCAATGATCTTAGGCAGATCTTCTGGAGAACTTGCTGCAGCTTCTACATCAGCACTTGCTGTTTCACCTGACTTTTATGTTATAGAGGTGGCTTCTTTCCTTAAACTTCATGAACTGACCTCTGCTAGCTTCAGACTTTTCTTTTACAACTTCCTCACCTCACTTCACAGAATTGAAGGAAGTTAGGGTCTTGCTCTGGATTAGGTGTTGTCTTAAGGGAATGTTGTGGCTAGTTTGATCTTTCAGCCAGATCACTAAAACTTTCTCCATATCAACAATAAAGCTGGGTTTTTGGGTTTTTTTGGGTTTTTTTTAAATCATTCGTGTGTTCACTGGAACAGCACATTTAATTTCCTTCAAAATTTTTCCTTTGCATTCACAACTTAACTGTTTGGCGCAAGAGGCCTAGTTTTCAGCCTATCTCAGCTTCATATATGCCTTCCCCACTAAGCTTAATTATTTGTAGCTTTTGATTTAAAATGAGAAAGGTATGACTTCTTTTTTTACTTGAACATTTAGAACCCATTGTACAGTTTTTAATTGGCCTAATTTCAATATTATCGTGTCTCAGGGAATAGGAAGGCCTGAAAAAAGGGAGATGGTCAGAACACACACATTTATTGATTATGTGGGCATGGTTTGTGGCTCTCTGCTCCACAAAATTATAACAGTAACATCAAAGATAACTGATCACAGATTGCCATAACAGATATAATAATGAAAAATGTTACAATACTGCAAGAATTACCAAAATTACAGAGAAACAAAATGAACACACACTGTTGGAAAAAAGTGGCACCAATAGACTTGCTTGATGCAAACTTACCACAAACCTTCAATTTGTAAAAAACATAGTATCTGCAAAGTGCACTAAAATGAGGTATGTCTTTACCAGTATTCACTATATCCTTTTAATGGTGTATCTTTAATCTCCTTTTTCACTTCTTCAGTCCTAATTGTTTTATTCTAGCTCTATACTTATCTAACAATTTTAGTAATGTTCATTTTGCAGGGAAAACAATTTTCTTTAGGCTTTCAAATATGTTCCATTCTCTTTCTCTTTTATGAATACTTTACCACTTGTCAAAGAAATTTAAGGGTATAAATTTTCTTCAAGCTTTTTCTATGTCCTATTTGGATATTCATCCTTTTTATTATTTTTATAGATGGTTTATAATTTCAGTTTTCATGCTGTCTTTAATCCATGGGATAACCATGAGTGTATTCTTAATTTCCAAGTAGTTACTATTAAGGAGGTGGGCAGGGAGAGAAGATCACCATTTTATTATCTTGTCCTATTTTATTATGGTCAAGAAAATTAGTCTGGAACTTTTTTGCTTTTCAAATTCTAGTAAGGTTTTTTTTTGAGCATTTTTTTAAAGTTTCCATGGATATAACAAATATATTTATATTATCAATTCAAAGAATGTACATTTCTGAATCTTTTTATCTTACTCTCTGTGCATAAGAAAATGTATTGATATCATTTTTTCCATTCCCTTATTTTTATCTAATTAAAAATGAATATTAAGGTTTCCCATTATAATTGTAGTTTATAATTTATGCTTGCATATCTAATAGATATTACTTTTCACATTTAGCAGTTTTGTTGTCTTTTGGTGCATTTGTTGTTTGGTGTTTTAGTACATATACTATACTACCCATAGTGTTACATATTTTTCATTTTGTCATTTTATAATGACACAACGTTCTTCCCTAGCTTGATTAGTACTTTTAACTTTAATTTTACATACTTCTTTTCCTATTATCATTATTATTGTTATTGTTATTATATTTAGAGACAGGGTCTTGCTCTGTCCCTCAGGCTGGAGTGCAGTGGCATGCCATGATCATAGCTCACTGCAGCCTCAAATGTCTGGGCTCTAGCAATCCTCCTGCCTCAGCCTCTCAAGTAGCTAAGTCTATAGGTGTGCAAGACCACACTCAGCTAATTTTTGTTGTTGTTTTGGGTGGAGAGTTATGTTTTTTTATTATTTCAAAGTATTATGGGGTACAAATAATTTTGGTTACATGGATCCCTTTATAATGCTTGAGGCATGATTAGAAGAGTACCCATTACCCAGATATTGTTCATTGTACCCTTCAGGTAGGTTTTCACCCATCCCCTCTTCCCCCTCCCCCTGGATGATTTCTGCTGAGTTTTACTTCCCTCTCCCATTACTGGGTATTTACCCAAAGGAAAAGACGTCATTTTATCAAAAAGACACCTGCACTTAAATATTTATTGCAGCACAACTTACAAATACAAAGATGTGGAATCAACCCAAATGCTCATCAATTCATGAGTGGATTAACAAAATGTGGTATGTGTATACCATGTACTACTCAGCCATAAAGAAGGATGACTTAATTTTTTAAAATTTTTTATAGAGATGAAGTCTTACTATGTTGCCCAGGCTGATCTCAAACTCCTGGCCTCAAGCTGTCCTCCCGCCTTGGCCTCCCAAAGTGCTGGAATTACAGGAGTGTACTACTACTCCAGGGCTCTTTTTTTCTTATTATTAACATTTCACTGCCTGCTTTTCCTTTTTCTTTTTTCAATTTCCTACTATCTCTTTACTCCTTCCTTTATCATAAAACAATATTTTCTCTAAGCCTTTGTGACGCTGGTCTCTATCAGAATTACACCTTCATCTGCAGCCTTGTTTTCATGCCCCAGGGCAGGACCATCTTTCTTTCTCTGGCTCTACCATCTGAGAAGCTCCAGAAGGTGGGTGACTGAGAGAAAACTGTGTCTCCCTCAAGCCACAATATTCCAGCATCCTCTAACCCTCCTTTGCTTTGCTACTCAATTATGCCTCTTGTTTCTCTCCATTCTTAAATTATCTTACCTAAATGGGGGAGAGGTTCAAGAACAATCTTTACAGATTACGACAACCCAAGTTTTTAATAAAGCTGTACCAATAACTGTATGACCTTAAGCAAGTCAATTAATGCCTTTAAAACTACCTTCTTGATTATAAAACATCCAAATTGACAAGATGGCTTCTAGGGTCCTTTCCAGTTCTATGAT